CCCGAGGGCTGTGCTGATCATCGGTCGCACCGCTACCGCAGCTTCATGATCGAAGAGATCCTCACCGAGCCGCCCGGGCCCAAGGGCGCAGCGCCTGCGGCTGCAGCTGCCGCCGCCGGCGAGCTGCTAAAGTTTGGCGTGCAGGCGCTCCTGGCCGCGCGGCCCTTTCACAGCCACTTGGGTACGTGCAGCGGACTGGGCTTGAACGGAGGGTGGGAGTCGAGTCACGGGGCAGCCCAGAATTCAACCTCCTTCTCCACTCTCTTCCTGGAGCGACCTGGGATTCAGGCCCCAGGAACGTCTCTTCACGCGCTCCAATTGAGAAGTAGAGGGTGCAGGCAATGGGCTGCGCAGAAACCAGGCCTTATGTCCGCAGACCAGATTAGCAGAGTTTGTCCTCTACTTCAGGGCGGCTTCGGCTTTTCCAATCGGGTGATAGGCCAGGTCCAGGGACCAGAGCCGGCATCCCCTTCAGTCGCAAAACAGTCAACAGATCGATCGCTCTGTATCAAAATGACTTCAGTCCAGAGAAGCCCGAGTTTCTCGGCAGAGGGCTGTTTGGGCATGGCAGTAGCTGCCCAGACTGGAAAAGCTGGGACCTCTGAAGAAGGTCCTGTTCCCCCAGTGCTGGATGTTGACCGTTGCCCATGCCACCAACGAGCCTCCCAGAGCCTTGTGCTCTCCAGTTAGCGACAAACCGAGGCCTCTGTTGTAGCCAGAATCTCCTTAGGCCTGGTCTGAGGGAAAGAGGCCTGTTTGTAAGCCACGGCCCCGCTGGCCGGTCCACTTCCAGGTCAGCGTCTTGAATCACTGCTCAGACCTTTTCGGTCTTGGTCTTGTCTCTTGGGGAATTGTGGGGCAGCCTGCCCTGTTCTGCAGGCCTTCTCCATTCTGGCAATAGGGCTTGTACAAACTCTCTTTGATTGATCTCCATCCTTGTCTTTCGGTGAAGTCGCCCTGTTTCCCCTCTACCCGCTTCCTCCTAAGATCGGCTTTCCACTCCTTACTGCCAATGCTTGCCTTACCCCATGGGTCCCTTGCTCTGACCCCCTCCTTTCTGAGAAGCCTACCAGTAAAGAAAGCCTCCTGCATAGACTCCAGCCCGGCCAGCGGCCCTGGGGATCAGTACCAGCCCCGGTTCTGTCCTGGTGCAGTTGATCCAGATTGCCTGTTTGAGGTTCATCGGATTCACAGCCTCTTTACTGCCTTTCACGACCAACGGTTCTATTGTTGGTAATTCGTTTGAAGCGGGCAAATAGCTGATTTCGAACTAGAGAACATGGAGGCACCTTTCCGGGGAAAAGCCTGAGCAGAGAAAACAAGAAAGACAGTTTTCGGGTTCAAAGGATGCTTTGGCGACCCTCCCTTAGTTGATGTCCCGGCCTCAGCCCGCATTGTAAATCGCAGCGCAGAGCCGGGAGAAGCAAATGCTCACATTTCCACCGCGCTCTTTTCCGAACGCACAAGCCCCCCTTCCAAATTCACCCGTTTCTTCTTGGTTTCTCATTTTCACAAAAGACAGTTCTGCGTCCTCCAAGCAGCGAACTTGCTTGGAGAAACCTTGAAATCTTAGAGGCAGCTGGGGGAGTGGGGGGAGGACACGACGACACGGAAACACTAGTACGGAGCTCGGGGTGGGTGGGAGGGGTTGAAAGTCCTTACTTTCCTCAGGGAGTGGTAGGCTCAGATTGAGCTCAGGCACCTAGACGCCTTTACAAAATGCGGAGATTCGACTCCAGTTCACCCGGTTCCTTTCTTTTCTTCCCCTGCAGCAGTGCTGAAGGCTGAGCAGGCCGCCGTGTTCAAGTTCCCACTGGCGCCGCTCGGCTGTTCCGGGCTGGGCTCCGCGTTGCTGGCCACGGGGCCTGGGATGCCCGGCACCGCAGGCGCTTCGCACCTGCCGCTGGAGCTGCAACTCCGCGGGAAGCTGGAAGGAACCGGCTCTGGGGAACCCGGCACGAAAGCCAAGAAAGGACGTCGGAGCCGCACAGTGTTCACTGAGCTGCAGCTGATGGGCCTGGAGAAACGCTTCGAGAAGCAGAAGTACCTCTCCACCCCTGACAGGTAGTGTCGATGGAGGCTGGGCTCAGCGGACAGTAGGCCGGTGGTGGCCTGGCTTGCTAAGGGTGTGCATTGCTTTTTCCAGAATAGATCTAGCTGAATCCCTGGGCCTGAGCCAATTGCAGGTGAAGACATGGTATCAAAATCGGAGGATGAAGTGGAAGAAAATAGTGAGTGTGGCTGGTGGCTTCCTGTGCGCTGTGATTTCTTGGGCATCGTCCCCGGGATCCTCAAAAAAACTGCCCCCCCCCCCCACTAAGAGTGCCTAGTCCACCCAGTGCGCTCTGCTCTTTCTGTTTGAGTTCACTGTGGAGCTTTCTTCCCACCCCAGGCATCTCCTGGCAATCTCTAACTCCTCCACCTTGAGCTCGCTCGTCCCAGCGGCGCTTTAACGATCGATCGCTATCTCTTTAGGGCTTGGAGTAGTCTCTGGTGATATCTTGTTTGGGTCCCTCGGTCCCACATGGGCACTAGGCACGGGATGATCCTTGGTCTGATTCACACCTCACTTTAGTACTGTTCGTTCTCGAAACAGGTGCTGCAGGGTGGCGGCCTGGAGTCCCCGACCAAACCCAAGGGGCGGCCCAAGAAGAACTCCATCCCCACGAGCGAGCAGCTCACGGAGCAGGAGCGTGCCAAGGAGGCCGAGAAGACAGCGGAATTGCCGAGTGAGCCCAGCGACCGGAACTGCGAGGACTGAGCTCCGTCCGGGGTGTGCGGCACCGTCGGCGGGAACCCAGGAGCTGGTTCTTCCGCGTCCATGCCGTTTGCTTTCTAAACCATTCATTACTACTTTGAATGCGGACAATTAGGGGCCAAACAAGAAGGGACAGAAACCTGAAAGCCAGACCCAGGTCTCAGCGAACTCCTGTCTCCTGCTCCCAGTCTGGGAGAGTCGTGTCTGGAGCGGCCGAAGCTTCTGGTCTTTCTCGGAGTTCCGCGGTGCCCTGCGCTCCACGCGCATTCATGCCCCGCTCCTTGCCCACACTTTTCCCCGGCCTCCAGCCGGCCTTCCGGGCCGGACACCGGCAGGTACACACCCGCTTCCGCGCCTTGGGGACCGAGCCTCCGGGTGCAGGCCTCTACGGCCCTGTCCTGCAGAGTCGGCTCCGGAAAGACCCGGCAAATCAGCTGATGCCCGGTCCCGATGTCGCTGGAGGTTCTACCCACCTCTCGCGAAGACGGTGACTTTTTTTTCCAATAAAATATTTTATGACACAGCGGGGTACTTGATGGTGAGGGATGGAGGGGGAGGCGAGGTAAGGTGGGCATTGGAAATTACAGCATCCTCCCCTCAGTGGAAACAAGCGGTGCTCTCCCTGACTGGCCCAAGTACTGCAGTAACTAGGTTACTTCGGAAACGAACACTAGGTGTGAGGGGCCAGGGTGGACACTTCCTTTCCAGCTTGGGGGGGGGGGTCACCATCAGCAGTAGGCCACCAGTCCACAAGTGTCCTGGAGCTCTGAGTCCTTTAAGTTGATTAGGTCTCCTGGGGCTGGACCTCTGTGGTCCTTGCGATGTTCCGGGCCAGCTCTTTTGAGGTGAATAGAAAGCCCCCGCGTGTCTTAGGCAGCCCCATTGAGGGGCATAACTTGGCAGGTAATATCTACTGGTGCCGCTACCAACCAAAAATGTCTCGGTTGTTTGTCCTTTGGGGAGGGAGTGATCATATAACGTTCTATTTCTGTGGTTGGGGGGACATCGTGAACACTGTATGGGAATGGACAGATGGTCACTTTGTTAGCTAAAAAATCTCAAAAAGGAGACACAACTTGACCATGCAGTTCCAGACACACTAGCCTTCAAAGCCAGGTCCTCCCGGGGTTCAAAAAATGCCACAGGTTTTGTGGTTTGGCCTCATTTTTAGCTTTGGTGGTCATTGTTTTAAAGCAGGGTCTCACACTGTACCCTCAGGATCCTGAAACTTGCTACATGGCCTAAACTGGCCAGGACCTCATGGAGACTCACCTGCCTCTGCCTCCCAAATGTGGGGATTGCGAACATTCATACCATGCATGGCAAGTTTAAGAATATGACAGACTCCTGTGTTGGTGACCGTCCTCTTTATTTTTAAGAATTTTGTATTTTCAAGTATTTGTGTGCTCTCTGTGTGTGGTTGGGGGTGTGGTATGTGCACCTGAGCACAGTTGCAGGTCAAGGACAGTCAGAGGTGTCAGATTCTCTTAGAACTGGAGTTAGAGGCAGTTGTGAGCTGAGGGAGCCAGAACCAGGATCTTCTGCAAGAATAGCATTCACGGTCTTAGCTGCTGGGCAGCTTCTCCAGCTCCAGACTTTTCCTTTCCGACTAGGCGGTCCCTTCCTAGAACCCAGTTTGAAAGTCCCCCTGGAATTTCCAGCCTCAGGTTATGGAGAAACTAGAACCCACATTTTAGGAGGACTTTGGGAGCGATTTTCCTCAGCACCCATGTCGTGCTAGGTCTTTGGGGAGATTGTCTTCTCTGGCTCTGAGGTCTTAATGCAGCCTCACCTT